TTTACTGCGAAAGCATATATCTTTGAAAGGCACCCTCCCACCTGGCGTTTGTCAACACATTTTGTCTCAACTTTCAGTCTCTCCACGCCATAAACCTATCACTGTAGCAATGCATTTCACTCCCATTTGTACCAGTTTATCCTTATAGATCAGCTGAAGTATTTGCACCATAGATACTTTAAGGTCGGTGTCTCGCCTTACTTATTTCATCCATCGTAATTGATTAGAAAGTCCTCGAATAGCTTCAATATTGCATAATTAACGTCTGACTTCACATTCCATTCCTCAGGAGTTGTACAAATTTGAATCATAGTAGAATTATTTTTAATTCTGAAGAGATAAACCGTTTACCCCAACGTTAAAAACGGTCTTACACAGCATTCACCTCTTTCCTTCTCATTCGAATGGATAAACTGCTCTTTATTTATTTGCATAAACCATTATCTACCTTAAACTCAACTCACTATAGGTCGCTTAAGTATATACCACAATGAAATAAGTAAAACTAATGAGGCTACTTAGCGTTGCCTCCCAAACGATCTTTTCCTTTCGACTAGACTACAGTTTTGACCTCGCCCAGTTCTCATCATTGCCCCCAATGCGATTGGTTACCGTGCCATGCAGTTCTAATGGTGAATCTTATCCTCTACACTACACACTACTGCATCATACTACTCTAATCCAAAATATTTTAAATATGTCATGCTTAAAATGAGGCATTAGTTCAAAGTTAACGAGGGAGGAAGTCTCGTGGACAGCGTCTACCTGAATGTCGTATAAAAGCCAAACGGATGCAGTAAAACGCGATTCATTCGTCCTCTTCTGGTGAGATCGACCTACGAATCTCTTCTTCATTCACTTTCATACGAAACGAAAGTTCCCCCAACAAAGTTAACTTGCCATATTGAGGACGTTTTGGTTGGAAACTTCATCATCGCAGAGAACAATCTCCATCACGACACTAGTAATTGGACCCATTCTGTTTAGATCCAAAACTATTTCTTATTTTGGCTTGATCCAGAAAATGGCTGCCTCGGAGCATGGCTGGCTCTCTGAAGCACGTTGAGGTGTAGATTATATTCTGTATTTATGCTAATTTTTTGGGAAGGAGACATTTTAATGCGCCTTCTTAAAACATCTTTCCGGATGTGCACTATTCTGTTCCGAAACTACAAGCAGACGTAAAGGCATTTTCAAGTCACAGCTAATTCCACACACATTTGTGAACGTTCTCCATCTATCCTGATGTGATAATTGAATGGTGGTAACATCGTGAAGTTAGATGAAAAATATAATTTATAAGCCAATTAGTCCTCTGAGACTAATGTTTCTACAATTATTTGGAGCATTCCCAATGCAATCAAATATCAGTAACTTAAATACATTTTTTTGCTCTTTCTGGCTCGAGTGCATGGTCTAATTCTTCTCTACACCTCTTCTTTCAGAATCTGTGTTCTTGGCTCTGCGCACGGTTGGTTCTTCAAGCACAGTACCCGAGTCCATGTGGATCAGATATTGGAGGGCTTCGCGCAGCACTGTCGGAATCTAGAGGCTCTGGAGATCCAGTGGGATCCAGATACCATTCGGTTCAGCGACAAAAGTCGAAAGTTTATCGACCGCTTAAGGTAAATATTCTCATATTTCGCAGTCTTAACCTCCAACTTCAGAGCAGAGAAATGGCCCATTGTGGATGCTGGCTAGTGGTTAATGGGAGAGTGAAAAGAGATTGAGCATTGACGAATTTTTGACTAGTTCATGGAAGTTTTCATTTTTATTTTGCTGACCATGCTGCTTCAAAGTCTTACTGATGAAGGCCTGAAACAATTAAAAGTGTGATTGAGCTTCAAATGAAAGGTGAAACTGGCGAAAGATAGTGATTAGGGCCAGATCCTAAACTTCGCAGAATATGACGTCATATGGGCCTGCCTGCGAACTCAAGAATTCAGACAAAAAACAAAAAGGACGAGGTTTTAATCGGAATATTTGCTATTTTGTAAAAACTAGAGTCAGGTTGGTTAAGATGACCGAGGTGAAATGTCAGAGGACCTGAAGTTGTTGACGAGTTTCTCTCAATTTTGCCTTCGAGAAGGCCTTCTCATCCAGGCTGTGCTGAGCATTTGACCTCGCATGAGCCTCATCAGCAGCTTCGAT